GTTATCTACGAGACCGCCTGCTGCCACCAGTAGCCTCCCACTGGCCGGTACGCTCTCATAGAGAGGGGCTCCTCCGGGTGCTGTCGGCCAAACAATGTCGACTAGCGGCCCCCAGGAGGAGAGGCTTCTCTGGGGGGGGGCACCTACTATCTGGAATGAGCTCCCCCTGGAGATACGGAGGATCCCGGATCTACGCACCTTCCGCCGCGCTCTTAAAACCTTTTTATTCCATCAGGCTGGCCTGGACTAATTTTTCCCTTTTTCCCTTTTAAAACACAAATTTTAATTGGTTTTAATTTATTGGGGTGTTTTAAATTGTCTTCGGCCAATTGTTTAATTCAGTTTTATTCTGTTTTTAAACTTTGTATTTATGTGTTTTTATCTTGTGGCTGTTCACCGCCCTGAGTCCTTCAGGAGTAGGGCGGTATACAAATTAAACAAACAAACAAACAAACAATTGAGCATGAGACGTATCAACAGATTTCTGACAATCTCAAAAGGTCTCAATAAACACAATGGGTTTTTAACTTGTTCTTGACGAATGTATCTTTTCCTTTATGTACACTGAGAGCGTATGCACCAAGACAAATTCCTTGTGTGTCCAATCACACTTGGCCAATAAGAATTCTGTTCTGTTCTGTTCTGTTCTATTCTATTCTATTCTATTCTACAATTGCTAATTGATAAAGAGCAATTGGGTAACGAACTGCAAGAAAATTATCAAGATCAGAGAGCGCCAAGGACTATACAGTTCTATTCCGAGCTACAAATATTCTCTTCTGTTGAAAACAACCCAGCCTGGTGGCTATCTTTAAAACCTTGCAAAATTCCACTTGTTTCTTAGCAGGGAGGCCAAGAATATTTTGACAAGACTAGTGCAGTGGCAATAATGATCTACATCGTTGTTGTGATAATGTTTCTCTCAAGTTTGCTGTCTTGCCTCAGTTAGGAGGTTTAGGAGATTAGAGAGAGATGGATGCCCTGCACACCTGTACGTTGGATCACAGCCATGCCTGAAACCCAACTCCCCTAAGCTGCTTGGTGAGGGTCTTGTGTTCCCTGATTCGCTGCATTAATAGGCTGGGAGGCAGACATGGCCCCTCTGTTGCCTCCCCTCCTTCCTACTGACATCACTTGAAGCCATCTGCGATCATCTGGACGCTGAAGCCACTTTGGCGCCTTGCGTTTCTGTTTCTTCTCGCTTTCTCTCTCAGACATGCACCCATACGCACCTCGGTTAAGACAAAAGCTGTAATTAAACAAAGCCTTTCTCCTCCCAGTTAATTTTATTTGGGTTCTGATATATTCAGCTGGGAGAGGCATGAGTATGTATAAGGCAGAAAGGTGACTTTATTGTACCTACTTGGATTTTCTGCAGCTGCAGTGTCTGGAACAAGATCGTCAACAAGGGTTTGAAGAATAAGGACCCTATTATTTGAAATAAAAATGACACGTAAACTAGGAAGGACCGATGGACGTAGGAAGCCTACCTAGGAAGTAGGCTAAAGCTGAGACAAGTGCAGCTCCCTACAACAGAATCCAGTCTAATATCAGGCAGAGACAAATTTATCCTGCTTCATTTGCTACAAAATGTGTGTATATAAATTAAAGGAAAAAAAAAAAAAACCCTTAGCCCAGCTGCTTTTTGAGATTAGCCTCAAACCTGGACTTGAACCAGAAAGTTGTCAATTTGATCTCACATACAAACATAGATTCTTTAAAACTAAATTCTCTCTCAAAAGAAAGTTTTTCAAACAGCACCAGAAATATCCTTCTAAAATACAGGACTCATCGGGGAAGACCCCACCCCAAAAAAAGGAAAAATGGTTGGTCTGCAAATTGGTGCAGCAGCACAAATTCAGCAGGATTCCACACAAAGAAAACGTGTTTTGAAGGAAAGGACAGTAATATATTTTCCTGTATATTTACAATTCCAGCCTGAAGAATTACACAACAGATTCATCTAAAATGTAAAAAGAATTGTTAACATAATCATGGCACTGGAACGGTTTTCCCTCTTTAAAGGTTCTGTAGATAGCTGATCAGCTAAAATAATTTGTTTAACCCGGTGGTTCTCAAAACTGTGGTCCGGGGACCCCTGGATGGGATCTCTATGTTGTCACAGGGGATCCACGAAGGCGTGAAGAAATGTTATGATTTAAATCGGGGTGAAATCCAGTAGGTTCTGACAGGTTCTGGAGAACCGGTAGCGGAAATTTTGAGCAGCTTGGAGAACCAATAGCGGAAATTATGAGTAGTTCGGAAAACCGGTAGTGGAAATTTTGAGTAGTTCGGAAAACCGGCAAATGCCACTTCTGGCTGGCCCAAGAGTGGGGTGGGAATGGAGATTTTGCAATATCCTTCCCCTGCCATGCCCACCAAGCCATGCCCACCAAGCCAAACCATGCCCATCAAGCCATGCCCACAGAACCATAGTAAAAAATGTGGATTTCACCACTGATTTAAATCTTGAGTTAAGTCTTTGGGGTCGATGGCTGTGATATGTGGCCACAAAAGTTGTTTAAAGGCAGTCCATGATGAAGAAAAGATTGACAACCACTGGTTTAATCCATTAAATCTCACCCTCCAAAGCCCAATGCAAGTGATTCTCTTTCTATGAACGATTTAAATCAGCCACCCTGGAAGTCAAGTGTTTTTATTTGGTCTCATTGGACTCTATTCTCACCAAATAATGAGGTTACCCATTCATAAAATGGCCACCGCAAGTGCTTATCCAGAGCCCAAATGCCCATTTCTCAGGAATCCAATAATTGATAGCTTCATCACCATATCATACCTGTGACTTTTCCCCCCCCTGTACAGGTGGACCAGTTTCCAAACCAAAGAATGCGCTTTAATCACTTTTTTTTTTTTTTGGTAAAGGACTTTTTTGGGGCCTACAGGTACTTTCTTGAAAATAAGGATGATTTATTTTATTTATTCATTTTATTTGTTTGTCAAACATGTACAAAGTAGCAAGTATAAGTATGAACATAAACCTGAACAAAGGAAGTAAATACAGATAAATGGGGACAGTAGGACAGGGATGGTAGGCACGCTGGTGCACTTATGCACGCCCCCTTTACGGACCTCATAGGAATGGGGTAAGGTCGATGGGTAGACAGTTTAAGGTTGAAGCTGTGAGGGTTTGAGCATGTAACAACTGAGTTGGATAGAGCATTCCAGGCATTGACCACTCTGTTGCTGAAGTCGTATTTTCTGCAATCAAGTTTGGAGCTGTTTACCTTGCTTTTGTATCGATTGTTTGCCTGTGTATTATTGAGGTTGAAACTGAAAAAGTCATTGACATATAAGACTTGCAGCAGACAATTTTGTGTACTGTGCTTAGATCAGACCTAATGATGTCAGAAGCCGGCAGTTTGTAGCTTGTCTACATTCTATTCTTCTTCTAAGTTAAAACTAATAAGGTGGGGCAGAGAATTTGGCAAGCACCGAGGGAGATGTTTCATGTATGTGGGCCTCACGTGGTCCAACCTTGGACTAAAGGGGGACTGCTTTGACGGGCACACAAGTATCTTGTTCAAATCTGCTTCTTCTTATTCACCAGCCCCACTTGGCCTTTCAGTTGGAAAAAGACATCACAAAACTCACTTAGTGGCTATATTCAAATGTGCTCCATTTAGTCACACTTTACTTAAATTACAGTATATGGGATTAACTGATCCATATACCAAACTCTTGGGTGGGGTTCACATGACACCCTTTGCTAAAACATGATTGGCTAGTTCATGATTGAATATGCTATGTAAATACATACTCTGGGTTTACATAAAAGGCTTTGTGGGTATGTAACAGAATTAACCTGGTTTTCCTAATTCACACAATGCCCTGAAATATCAGAGCTAAGCAACCAGTTTTCCACAACATCTTAGAAGAACCAAGTTTGGAAAAAAAGCACTCTTTAAGGAAGTTAGTAATAAGTTTGGAAAACGCAGTCTTGAATGTTGTAGGAAGTTTGAAAAAAAAAAAGGAGTACTTAATAGTCTGAAAAAGCAAGAATCTGATAGTTTGGGGAAAAAAGTATTTAATAAAGTGAGTAGTAAAATTGTGTGTGGGGGGGAAGCAGTACTTAATGAAGTTAATAGGTATTAAATTTGGAAAATGCACTCTTTTAATGTTGTAGGGGGGAAAAAGCAGTACTTAATAGCAAGTCTGAAAAAGCAAGAACCTGACAGTTTGGGTGGAAAAATATTTAATAAAGTGAGTAATAAATTTGTGTGTGTGTGTGTGTGGGGAAAACAGTACTTAATGAAGTTAATAGGTATTCAATTTGGAAAATGCACTCTAATGTTGTAGGAAGTTTGGGGGAAAAAGCAGTACTTGATAGCAAGTCTGAAAAAGCAAGTTTGGGTGGAAAAATATTTAATAATGTGAGTAGTAAGTTTTTTTGGGGAGGGGGGAGGGAAAGCAGTACTTAATGAAGTGAGTTTTGGCACGTTGCATGGCAGCTGCTACCTAGAGCATAAACTGTGTACAGAGAAGGGAAGGCCACGCAACCCCAGGGCTGCCAGCAGGGCAATTCCCTCCGAAAACCTGTCACCTCCGCCGACTCCAGAGGGCCTGTTCTTGCCAACCGACCCGTCCAAAGAAGCTAGTAAGCCGCGATCCGCTCCAGGAGATCCTTTCACTGAAGCTTGAGGCATCAGACGCTCGGCCGGAGAAAGGGGGGGAAAAAAACAACCCGGGGGCCGTTGATGAGTTTGTAATCGGAGACAAGCGTCGGTGACTGCCGAGCCCAGCAGCTGGGCGGGCACAGCCCGGGAGCGACTTGTTGGCTAGAAGTAATAGCAAAAGCGAAAGTAGCCGGGCGGGCTTGGCGGCAAACGGGCAGCCGCGACAGCACCGACGGCAGCTGCTTAGCGAAAAGCAGAAGTTAGTTTGGGCTTGGGAGGGGGGGGAAACCCACAATAGAGGGGGGGGGTTGGATTCCGGCCTGCCCCAAACAGCCCTGATTGGTCGAGATGGGCTTCCCAGGAGAGGGAAACGCGTTGATCCTCTCAGCATAAAATACCCGGGAAGGAGCGCGGAGCAGAATGGTCCGGAGCGCAGCTTTTTTTGCGCGCGCGCGCGGGCGGGTCGACGGGCCGGTCAGACGGCATTGCAAAAGCGAGGACTCCGCCCGGCCCCTGCTGGACTTTTTGGGACCGTCCAGCAGAGCCAAGCGAGACCACCTGTCCGGCGAGGCCGCCTTCTGAAGTCGGCCAGGTGAGAGAAGGAGAGAGGGAGGGAAGGAAGGAAGGAAGGGAGGAAAGGAGAGGGGTCTGCAAATGGGGCAGCGGGAGAGCCGCACGTGCTCCTGGCAGGCGGGCGCGGGAGAAGAGCGAGACCCGCCGAAAGCCCCGATTCCTCCTGCAGCGTTTCCACCCGTGACTTTTCTACGGGAGAGTTCAAAGCCGTTTCCAAGGGTGGACTCTTGCGCGGCTGAGCCGGGAGGAGGCGGAAAGGATTTGCCGCTCCCCACCCCACCCCCGGCCCTGCGGCCCGGGTGTGTCCGGGTGAAGGAAGCGGAGCGTGGCCTCGAAGCAGCCAGCGCCTTCCTTGCCACCAGGGTAGGTTATTTGCCCCCCGCTCCCTCATCTTCTTCAGGATAGCCTCTTCTCTCCTTTTGGCCGTGGGAACCCTTTAGTTAAGTGGGGAACTTGCACCTGATGGCTGCATCTTGATCAGGCGAGGAAAAATTCCTTCTGGGCTGTGAGGGCAGGTGGTTTTTCCTGGTGCATCTGGGGCAGGGCCACGAGAGAAGGAGGACAGAAGTGTGGGGTCTGTTTATTTCTAGTTTACTCCCCATCTCGGGGAGAACCGGCCACGATTCAACCCACCCTGCGCAAGTATAGCGTTATTCCCTTTGTCTTGCCAGAAATTAGTAGGGTGGCCTCAGGCAAGCAATCTGCAAAATGGGAGTAATAGCAGTGGCCTTGGGAGGTTGGCTGCCCTTAAATGAAGCTCATAGCATCTCCTAATTCCCAGGGCTAAAAGTATTCTAGATACAGATGTGCTTCTCAGTAAGTAAGAGCATTGTGCAGGAAAGCAAATCTTAACTAAAATGAGCGTACATATGATTGTAGCTTGAATTAAAAGGAAACAAATTGATTCAACTCAGTTTATTGGAACTGAATATACAAGTTCTTCTAAAAGTCCTCACTTTTGCTGGTTGCCTTCCATAGTAAAAAAATAGGAAGCTGTTATTTTGACTCTCTCCTATCTCTTATTTATGTATCTATTTTTAAAGAAAAATGTATTTGGGGAGAAATAGAAGCGGGACAATGCCTCTGCTGCTAATGTAAATTACTTCCCCCTACACTAGGGGAAATTATCTTTTTTTGATGGATAGAAAGTTTGTGCCGTTCAAGAGATGAAGTTTTCCCCCTTCTTGCATTTCCGGTCCAGAAAAAGCTGCTACTGGTGGTTTCATCTGTTGAAATTATGCAACTTTTAAAGACACAGCTCCTTTCAGAAATAGACTCCCATAGATTGGATTTCCCCTCTTGTAGTAAACTTTCCTGATCTCACATTGAGAATTTTGATTTTTAAAAACAACAACACAGTGGTTTAGCTGGAACCTCATTTTCAGTCTCTCTGTTGGAGAAACCTCAATTTTAAAAAGGTGTGAAATTGCTGTCTTTTGGCATCTAGTTGGTAGGAAGTATTCACTTGTATTCTTCATAGTCAGTGGCAGCAAATTATTGCCTCCATCTGCACTAAATAATGTCGTTCTATTACATTGCTGGTTGAGGTTGTCCAGTGATCTGAATTCTAAAGAAGACTGGATTTCTGCTTTTCCCCCCCCATTATCTAGGAAAAGGAATTTCATTAGATACAAGTGGATGATTTTTCCTCTAGTAAACATCTTCTCTTTTGCATATGGCCGAACCTGTATGGATCCTGTTGAAAAAAAAATAGTCTTCTGTAGAACTAATGCCAATTCCAAGCATTTGGTGTGTAGGCTTCAGTAACACCCCACTGAATTAAAGAGCTTTTCAGTACAAAATTACTTAGTTTAAGATTAAGCAGAAAAAAATGTCCAAATGGGCTGAGGTTTTACAGGTTTAAGAATAAGGTATTGGTTCCAGATTTAGTCATAACCTGGAAAGAAGCTATTGAAATCGGCAGCTTGTAAATTAGTCATGAATTACTTACGCCCCATTGATTTCAATAGATTTACTCTTGTTATGATTATGCCTGGATCCAGACCAACAGCCACAGGTTGAATAATGATCCAGAATGATTTGTGTGCAGATTGTTTTCAGGAGTTCAGAAATAGCTTGGAGAGAATTTGGCATGAAACTGTTCCTCTTTTTAAAAAGAGGAAATTGAAGAGGTGGGTAGGAATTGTGTATGTGCATGTTCTGTTGATACTTGTCTTTTGGTGTCTGTTTAAAAAAAAAGCTTTTATGCACCACCTCCTTAAATGGCGTGGGTTGGCTTTGTGAAAATTTAAAATGCAGTTTAGAAAATCTAAGATTGCGGCTATAATCTAAATTGGGAATAGTGAGAAAGAAAACTATAGGGCATTAAGTAAGACTATTTATTCTGTTCTGTTCTATTGGGCTTGTTCGTATAGGTGTTGGTTTGACTTCACTGAAACATGATGCAGAGCTCTGTTCTTTATAAAGGGATGTGGTTTTGATGTAAGTTGTGGCTTCTTAGGTAGCTGTACATATCAGAGTTCAGTAAATTGTCACCATATCCTTTTGAGTGGGTTACTTTCAAACTAAAAACCTTTTTAGTTTTTTTCAATTGGACTTTTAAGAAGAGAGAACAGCATTTTCTGGTTTTCTTCTTAAAACTGAAAAATGTGCATTACATACAGCATGTGCAAATCTCCACCCATATTACCAAAGGAATATATGCAAAAAGTACCTAGGTTGAACTTCTGCGACAGTGATTAGAAACAGTCCTACTTAATGTTACTGAACTACAGTTCCCAGCATGCCTCATTCTTGATCGTACCGCTTAGAACACCTGTAGGGTCACTGCTTCCCATCTCTGCCATATAATCCTATATTGCCGTTCCAAAGCAGTATTACAGTATTAGTGCTTTACATCATAAACCCTGCTACTCCAGTGTTTTTAATCCCACATGCCTCCATTATCTACCTAATATGCTAAAATAGACTAAATTAAAATGAATATGGAGTGCTATGGAAGACTATATTTATAGCCATTGCAATACGCTTTCAGACTTCTTTTAAAAAGTGGGCATCTTCGAAGAGTGTATTCTAAGCTCAGCAACTTTAAGATGCATGGAACTCCCAGAATTTCCTAGCCAATATGCTGGCTGGGGAATTCTGGGCATCATTGTACATGCAGTTTAAAGTTGCTAAGGTTGAGATATACTGCTTGGGCAGTTTAATACTGGAAGCAGTACTGAGAAATGAAGGATGACTAATCTGAATGTCTCTGCCTCCCAGTACAGGTAGTTCTTGACATATGTTCGTTTAGTTGACCATTCGGAAATTACAACAGCACTAAAAAAAGTGATTTATGACTTTTACAACCATATAGAGCCGAGGTGGCGCAGTGGTTAGAGTGCAGTACTGCAGGCTACTTCAGCTGACTGCTAGCTGCAGTTTGGCAGTTCAGATCTCACTGCCTCAAGGTTGACTCAGCCTTCCATCCTTCCGAGGACGGTAAAATGAGGACCCAGATTGTTGGGGGCATTAGGCTGACTCTGTAAACCGCTTAGAGAGGGCTGTAAAAGCACTGTGAAGCGGTATAGAAGTCTAAGGATTATTGCAGCATCCCTGTGCTCATGTGATCAAAATTTGGACACTTAACAACTGGCATGTATTTATGAAGGTTGCAGTGTCCTGGGGTCATGTGATCACACCCTTTTGCAACCTTCTGAGAAGCAAAGTCAATATGGAAGCCAGGTTCACTTAAGAACCGTGTTACTAACATACCAATTGCAGTGATTCACTTAATAACTGCGGCAAGAAAGATTATAAAATGGGCCAAACTCACTTAATAATTGTCTTGCTTAACAACAGCTCAATTTTGCTCGTAGGTGGAGGACTACCTGTAAAATGTGAGAAACTGAACATGCTTTCCTCAATAATGCTTTTCTGTAAGAAGTCCCAAAAATGTTAGATTAGGACCTTTAACAGTTTTCTGAGATCTGGGTGAGCTTGCGAGATTCTGACCCTAAGTCTCTATGGAGATTGTCAATCATCCAGATCATGGTTGTCCCAAGGATGCTTTTTCAAGAGGCAACTGGACTTTCTGGTTTTTCTTTGGAGACATTTCGCTTTTCATCCAAGAAGCTTCTTCAGCTCTGAAAAAGGTTCAGAGATTCAGATTCATCCAGAGCTGGAGAAAGTTCTTGGATGAGAAGAAAAGTATCTTTAAAGAAAAAACAAAGTCCAGCTGTCTCTTGAAAAAACACCTTTGGGACAAACATGACCTGGATGACTGAAAATCTCCATAGACACTTTCGGTAAGAAGCTCGTGGATTTGGGGAGAGGGGTAGATGGAATGGGAATAAGTTTTTGTATTTATGTTCTCCATGGTATTCAGTAAGGCTTATTTGCCTGGACATTCCGTATCTGGCGGCAGAGGTCCTTATGGCCTTCCAGGGGGTTTGCCTGGCAACTGAGAAAGAAGGGCTCCAAAGTAGTAGAAGGTTGGTTGTATTATCCATCATACTTCTGAAATTAGAGGAGGGGGGGCTGACAATCCTGTAACAACTCTACCGCCAAAAACAATTAGGAATGTCACTCATTGTTTGTGCCGTTGATACAGCTGCCAAGCAAGTAGCGTGAAGCATGTCGCAGTCAGTCGAGGGCTTGTTTTATAGCACAATCTCAGGTGGAACCACCTTATCATAGTTTGGAGTGAAGGATCAGGACAGGACAGGACAGGACAGGATAGAATAACATAGTTGGAAGGGACCTTGGAGGTCTTCTAATCCAACCCCCTGCTTAGGCAGGAAACCCTACACCACTTCAGACAAATGGTTATCCAATCTCTTCTTAAAAACTTCCAGTGTTGGAGCATTTACAACTTCTGGAGGCAAGTCGTTCCATTGATTAATTGTTCTAACTGTCAGGAAATTTCTCCTTAGTTCTAGGTTGCTTCTCTTCTTGATTAGTTTCCACCCATTGCTTCTTGTTCCTGCCCTCAGGTGCTTTGGAGAATAGCTTGACTCCCTCTTCTTTGTGGCAGCCCCTGAGATATTGGATCACTGCTATCATGTCTCCCCTAGTCCTTCTTTTCATTAAACTAGATGTACCCAGTTCCTGCATCCGTTCTTGATATGTTTTAGTCTCCAGTCCCCTAATCATCTTTGTTGCTCTTCTCTGCACTCTTTCTAGAGTCTCCACATCTTTTTTACATTGTGGCGACCAAAACTGGATTGAGTCTACAGATTGGAGGGATGGGTGGAAATAACCAGGCAGAGGTGGAAAACTATGACCATCCAGAAATTAATGAAATACTGGGCCCATGCTGGCTTGTGTGGTTGGTAATTCAGCAATATATACAGTTTCCCTAATCCTGGTGGTACTTAGATCCTTTCAAGGGTATTGTCCCTTTAAGTTACTCAGAAAGGTGGCATCAGCTTTGACTCTTTTTGTTACTGGAGCTTCAGGAATTTGTGTAATACGTGTATTTATTGGAGCCAAGGATTTGGCTGCTGTTAGTGGTCCATTCCCCCAAAGCCAATATTTTTTCCTTCATTGAAGTCCTTCTCCCTGGTCCTCCATGTCAACCCTTCTCATTGTTCCCATGGGAGCCTCTTCCCCTGTAGGTTCTCTTCGTTTCTTATTTCCTGACTACTAATAATACAATGGGTACATCTGCTCTGCAAGAGAAAGGGTTACAAGGAAGTTGAATAGCAATAAAAGATTTGAAATATGACCCAGGTAAATCCACTTGGCTGCACCCCAGAGAATATAATAGCTCTGGGGAACTTGGTGGCAACAGGCAGGAGGAAGATCATGGATACAAGGGAAGATTCCCCCTCCCACTTCCAAGTTCGATCTTTTTTCTTTTCTTTTTGTTTAACATTTTTATTGGGTTATAAAATAAAATAAGATACAAAATACAAAAGTAAATAGGAAAACAATGGGGAGGAAGAGAGGGAAGAGAAGTGAGGAAGGATAAGAAAAAAAGAAAGAAACATTGACCTCCGACTCTCTCTGTTGCAGTAAAATAAGGCGTTAACATCAAATCACAGCTTTTTGTTTTTTCATAATTGTATGAACAAGCCATTTCCATAAAAATCTATCAATCTAATCGGTAAAACCCAAAATCAAAGTTTCATTCTTCTCCACTTCAAGCACAAAGTTGAGAAGTGGTCTCCATGTGGAAACAAAAGTACTTCTATTCTTTCCTTTGGTCAAAAATTCAAAATACTCAATTTTGCCATTTGTACCAATTCTATCAACTTCTGCAACCATTCAAATCGAAGTGTCCTTGCATAGAATACATAGTTGTGCTGTTGTCAACATATATAGTAACAAAGTTCAAAAAAATTTTTTCTCCTGGTCTTTTTCCATTAGACTCAAAAAGAAAAGTTTTGGTTTCATCTTTATCTCCGTTTTCAAAATTTTCTGTATTAAAATATGAATCATACTCCAATTTTTTTCCCTTTATCACATGTCCACTATGTGAGATGTTAAATAGTCCTTTCTTTACTTTTATACTTCCAACATTCATTTGACGTACCTTTATACATCTTAGATAATTTATCTGGTGTTAAATACAAATGATAGATCATTTTATAGAAATTTTCTTTTAGAATAATAATTTACATTAAATTATAATTTACATTAAATTTTAAACCCTTCGTCCACATATTTTCAAGCATCACATTATATCCAAAATTCCTTGCCCACTGAATCATACAATGTTCTACATTCTAACATCAATGTAAAAAAGAGATTGGGGGGGGGGAATAATCGGCCCAAAAAAGGTTTTGCAGCAGGAATGGATTATGGCCATGGAAAAGGCCTGTTCTGCTTGCAGAGCAGTTATCAAGTTGCTTGTGCGAATGATGTTGAAATAGATCTCTGATTTGCAAACATTTCTCTCCCGCCATTAAATATTAGCAACATTTCCAAACAAGTCTTGTGGGCTGAAAGGTGTTCTTGGTACGCTTTCAGGCAGAAACCCTTCTGCACACCTGGTGCTTTCAATCTACAGGTGGCTTGAGCATCTTATAACAACACCTGAAAGGGAATATGTTACACCCTGCTGTTTAATTAGCTGGTGAAAATCATTGCAACAGGATGCAGTTATAGTCAGTTGGCTCGGATAGCTTTGGAAGATTTGACCAATGTATGGCTCAGATCTACCAGAGCCTGTTTGCCATTGTCCTAATAACTTTCTTGATCAGAGATAGCAATAGCACTTATATACTGCTTCACAATGCTTTACAACCCTCTCTAAGTGGTTTACAGAGTCAGCCTATTGCTCCCAACAATCTGGGTTCTCATTTTACGGACCTCGGAAGGATGGAAGGCTGAGTCAACCTTGAGCCCGGTGGGATTTGAACTGTCAAATTGCAGCCAGCTGGCAGTCAGCAGAAGTAGCCTGCAGTACTGCATTCTAACCACTGCGTCATTGCGGCTCAGAGATAACCAATTTTGAAATAGCAGCAGAAGTCTATGGCTTTCCCAACCCATTTTCTGGTTCCTGGATTTCCAGCGATAACACTTTTCGATGGTACCAGAGCATACCTACCATTCCTAATTTACTTAATCCAAATCAACTAGCAGTGACAGTGGAAATGATCCCAGCCATCTTGTTTTGACGTTGATGAGATGGATGGCCGATGTGAAAAGGGGACAAAGCTTCAGTCGTGTAGTTGTGGCTCCCTTATTAGCTTTTTCAATTCAGCCAAGATCTTAATCCAACATTTTGTTTCCTACAGAGGCCAACGACCTGCCTCGGGCTCCCATCCAGGAGGTGGAGGCATAGACCTCTCCTGATATGGCTCTTGGCAACTGGAACTTAGAGGCAAGCTGCCCCCAACCGGAAAGTAACACTGAGTCCTCAAGATTAACAGACCTTATGAAATGTGTCTGTCATGAATTTGTCCTACTTCTTAATGTGGCCATCCATGTTGCCGGTCATCATCACATCTTGTGGTAATGAATCCATGACGCACTGTGTGAAGATAAAGGTCTGAACCTTGAAAAGCAAAATAAGAGTCTTCAGAGGGACGCGAATCCAGCTGCTGAGACTTTGAGATGGGTTTATTGTCCTTCATTGGGGTTTATCTACTTGCAGAATTTAAGTGTGCAGCGTTACTGTCACTGAAATGATCTTCCCACCCTTGCTGTGTCATGCACATTGCTACCCTCTGTGGGGTGCTGTCCTCTGTGCGTCCGTGTCTCTCCAGCCACAGAATTTACCACCACCTATTTTGCTTTCGGTGAGTTACCAGCTTCTGCGAAGGTTTAAGAATGGGCAACGGAATCCCAAAAGCAGCTGTTTTGCTCTGTTTTCCAGCTGCACTTGGATTCCGTTCCTTGCTCTTTTGCCCACTTCTCCAGGATTTCATTCTTTCTCTTATGGTGTAGCAAACTGTTTGGGAACCACTGGAAGAAACAAGAACTTAAAAAATAGTAATTCTGTTCAATAATGAGAACTAAAAACTTGTTATTTTTTAAAATGAAAGGCAATAAATTCAACATACACCAAAAAAGTTTGAGCTGGCTACCCACCAAGAATAACAGATGCCATAGGATTATTTGTTCAGTGGTAACAAATTAGACCTTGATTTAAAGAGAGTGATAGTTCTTAATCCAGGAGGAAGTAAATGTTGGGTACAAGCATGAAACAACAACAACAATGGTAGTAGTAATAGTAATAAAATATGTTTTCCTCCTGGTTGATTCAATCTTGGGAATAATCTGAAAGGTGAATTTTGCAGCTGTTCCTTCATGAGATGTGCAGTCAATTTAAGGAATTAATCTCAAAGCTGTTGCTGTTGAGGGTGGCCTTCCCTACATGTGTTAGGACTGCAATTCTTAGCTATTTGGAGAGAAGATAATCTTTGCCATATAACCAAATAGTGGACAATTAGCCTCTCAGTGGTAATTCCCCAGGATGGAGAACTTATTTAAAAGCCAAAGCCTCGCTTGATTGGGGATGGCTATCCTGTTGCACAGGGCCTTGTGGACTTCCAGATAGGACACCACAGTATGTTGTTGTGGACACATGACATTTAGTCTAAAGACTGCTTTGTTTAGCAACAACAATCCCGGTCCCAGTTAGGGTCATTAAATGAGGACTACCTGTACTTCCAGTGGAGTATTAGTGAAAGAATGTCCTTTCTGTTGAAGGTGGGAGCTTTGATAGGAGGTGAAAGGGAGCAGGCTGAATATGGTACTGTTGATAACTTTTTAAGTTATAGCATTGTGCGTGTTTGTGGAGGAGGAACTCCTTCGGGTTTCCTCATACTTTTCTGTGCAGTGGTGATAAAAAGCTACTTCCTGGACAGAAGTCGGTAGAGCTGGGCCTGCAGATGAGTTTCCCTTTACAGAATGGTAAGGCAAAATGAGCAGGATGTACTGAAGCAGGCATGAATTTTCCCAAGTTCAGACAAAGCAGAATAATGAGTTTGGAAATGGCCTAGCCGAGTGACTGGGAAGATAGTATTTATTTTATTTGTCTTTTCTTGGCCTTAGAAACTGAGCCAGATCAGATCTGGTTACTCTAAAGAATAGCTGGACAAGGCTAGACTCTGAAGCGGGGGGAAAAAATTCTCCAAAGAAGGTAGTGGTAAACCACTTCCACATTGCTGCCAGGAAAACAATGTGAATGTGATCGCATAATCAAGGGATTGGGGGTCATTGATTAATTATTTCTAGGTAATCTCAAGAATAATCTGAAAGGTGGTTTTTGCTGCATCAGGAGAGGCCAATCTGGATTTGGATACCTCGGAAGAGGCCCTATGCTTATGGGGAGGTGAAAGGAGTTTCTTCAACATGTCTTTGTTTTATTTATTTGTCCAATTTCTATAGCCTCCCTTCACACCAAATAAGTGACAACAAAGCTAATCAGTCAATAAATACCTAAAACCATTACCATTATTAACAGCACATTAAATCCATAAAAAAAACCTACAAAAAGAGAACATAAGGCTCTATTCTCACTAACAAAATATAACACACTACCCTTGGAGGAAGAGAGGCGCAAAACTAGGAGATGGGAAGGTGCTTTCGATCATGCCAATTTGTTGTACAAAAGTGTCCTCATCAAAGTGTGTTTTACTCAGAGGTGGGATTCAACCGATTTTGTCCGGTTCGGGCAAACTATGGGAGGCTCCGCCCACCCACTCTGACATAATGCACGAGTACTGCAGGGGTGAAATGCTCCTGGTTCGGACCGGATCACCCAATCCAGTAGCGATGACGGCAGGGGGTTCAGAGAACTGGTAGCAAAAATCCCTGTGCGCCGCCCAATGCTCAGTTGAGCCATGCAATCATCAGGCTTTTTTTACTCTTAAAAACATTTTTTTCTACAACCTCTTTGGCTGAAAAAATGCTTTTAAAAGTTAAAAAAAAAAAAAAAGCCTCTGATGAAGAGCCTCTGATGAAAAGAAGCCTCTTCGGCTGAAGAGGTTGTAAAAGAAATGCTTTTAAAAGAAAAAAAAAAGTTGGCCACGCCCACCCAGTCACATTACCCCCCCCCCACTAAGCCACGCCCACAGAACCAGTAGTAACAAATTTTACATTTCACCATTGGAGTACTGCGCATATACAGAAGGCCGTGCGCATGCCCAGAGCACATGTGTGCGCTCACATTTGCAAACCGGTAGGGAAGGGAAGTGAATCCCACCTCTGTCTTTACAAAAATAAAAATTGTGTAGGGATACATTTATTTTCCTTCATGATCAGAAATGCAGCCAGATGCCTCTACTCTGCCAAAAGAAGACTAACCACCACTTCTTCCACCATCCTGAGCCTCATGTCCAAATCTGAGCCCTGCAGGGATACATTTAATTTTTCAACAAAGGGGGTTATATCCTTAAAAGTGCTACTGTTTCCTGCATCCTTATAAAGGAAGAAAAGCTCTTGCACCCAATAGCCCCATGTTAACAGAAACTTGAAGAGAGTTCTGTAACAAGGTAGTCCTCGACTTGCGACTGGTCACTTAGTGATCATTCAAAGTTATAATGGCCCTCCGCAGGGCTATTTACAGCCCAGTTTCAAAATTCTGACTCCCAGTCATGTGATCATATTTTGGGTTGCTTGGTAACTGGGCAAAATTTAGAGCTGTTTGCAGGGCCCTGTCGTGATGATTTACAATGTTTTGTAAGAACTGGTGTTTATTTCTGCTTTCCAGCAAAAAAAAAAAAAAGTCCATTGGGTGCAAAGAGTTTGCTTAATGGGTCCCAGGTTCGCTTAACAGCTGTCACGAAAGAGGTTGTAAAATCAGGCATAGTCACGTGGTGACACAACTACCAGCATGAGTTATGATCGTAATTCTGGGTTCAATTACGATCATAAGTCCAGGGCTACCTGTATGTCTACCTACCTGTATTTCCTCTCTCTAGCTTGCATCATAAATAGTTATGGATTCTTGTTCTGGAATAAAAGAGATGGTGACGCCTATAGATTTTGCTGAACAACAATTCTCCATGAGGTTGATAGGGAAGGCTAAGGCTATTGTGAGAACTGACATCTTTCTACTCCTTTTACAGAGTCAGGAGGAGAATGGCTGAAACTTCTTACCAAAATGGGGAAAACCCAGTGCTTGTTCCTAACATTTTGTGACAAGAAGGAATCCCGAGCGTAGAAATTACTTCAGGGTTGCACACCATGATTTATTTCTTTTTCATGGATTTTCATTTTTTTTTCTTCCCCAAACAAATTGAGATGATCCTAAAGAAAAAGAAAGTTAAGTCCAGTTGCCTCTTGAAAAAGCACCTTTGGGACAACCATGACCTGGATGACTGAGAATCTCCATAGACAAATTGAGATGACGTGAGATAAAATTGTAATTCCCCAAAATGGAAGGCATTTCTGTCCATGTGGGGTGGGGGATCAGAAGGTATAGACCCCCCTGGTTAAACTCAAGGCCCGGGGGCCGGATCTGGCCCATGGGGCTGCCCTGGAAACAGCAAAGGTGAAACAGCCTGTGGTGAAAATTTCCATTTTTGCTGGCAGAGGTTTCCGAAAATGGAGCTTGGGAGCCCATTTTTGTTGGCAGAGTGTTCGGGCCCCCACAGGCACCCCCAACACGAGTAATGTCAAGCTGGCCACACACACCCAGACCCCCCAAGGTCAAACACAACCCTGATGCGGCCCTCAAATGAAATTGAGTTTTGACACCCTTGGTATAGATTAAAAGGCCCCTTGGGCAAACTCTAGCCCAATGGGAACTGGGAGGAGGGTTGTTGTTTTTTTAATTCAAACTTTGACTGATTAATGACAAGATATGTGCTTCAGATTAGCCTTGTTGAGTTTGGTGTTCTCCAAATGGATTGAACGCTATCTTCCCGCCTGTAAAATGAGGTCTGATACCTCTGGAGGACATTAAGTTGGGGTAAGTAGCCTCAAAGCCCACTTTTTTTTTTTTTGAACGGATGTTTTGTTGGGCTTGTTGAGTCAATTTACACGAGACATCATTGCAACAGATCCAGAATGGTTTTTCAGTGTCTGCCTCTTCATTTGACATATTTCACTAGTGTTGCTTCTCTTCTTAGGAATAGGTAGACAAGGTAAAAAGCAGGAAGAGGGATGCATGCATGTGGGAACACCTCCATCGTGGATCAGATACCTAGATGCTCAGGTCTGGAGGAAGATTTCGGGAGGAGAAATTGCCAAGGAATGACACGATCACTCCCGCTGAGCGAGTGGACACATAGCCACGGGGCTGTCGTGTCTGTCCTGAGCTTTTTCCAATATCCCAGATGATACCACGAAAGGGGCTGGAAGCATCTGCAGTTGTGTGATGCTATTTGTGTCTGGTCTCTTGTTTACAGTAGAATAACTGGGAGGAAAGAGGTTGTGTTCAGACGACACTCAGTTAGTTAATCCAGTTGCTTGTTTGTATACTACCCTGAACCATACACCAATAAATTGCATTTTAGCCTAATGTGTGAACAGAGTCGTCATAACCATCTAGATACAATTTTCCCTACAGTCGTTTTCATATTGGTGATTTTTAGCATCTTGCAGTGTTACAGGTAGTCCTTGACTTATGTTCATTGAAAAATCATTTGAAATTAAAATGGTGTTGAAAAAAGAAACTTAGAACCCATTCTCAAAGTTACAACCATCGCTTCACCCTTGTGGTCACAATTGCAATTTGGATGTTTGGCAATCACTGTGCTTTTGTGATAGATGCAGCATCCAGTGGTCATGTTATGATTGGTGACCTTCCCAACCAACTTCCAATAAGCAAGATCAATGAGGGAAGCTGGATTTACTTAATGACCACATGAGTTATTTAACAACCACATGGTTTGCTTAATGACTGCCATAAAACATGGTCGTAAAATCAGGTCTGGTAATACGACTTGCTTAGCAATTGATGATAATACTATAATGCTTGTATTTTTATAATTGATACGTCACAATAGCACTAAACAATGCTATAAAGTGGCATAAATCACTATTTTGGAAGAGCTTCAAATTGCATAATGTTACACAAGGAAAAGAGAAGCAAAAACCTTTAAGAGTTTTACCACTTTGGATATCATGCCCAAGGCAAATTTCTAGTTCCTTTCATCAGAAAATATAATTGCAGTCTACCCAATATTTCATTGATTTAAAAACAAAAATATTATAAACAATTAAGTGGGTGGGGGAATAAAGTGGTTAAATATTTGATCAAATATATCCAAGTTTTCCAATTTATCCTGACTGGCTTATATACAGGCCAAAATGGGAATTATCTTGTAACATACATGTTTGCTAATAAAACATTTGTCTTAAAGGGTAAGCATTGATTTTTTAGGTTTACATATAGGAGTGGGAAATCAAAACATTTTTCTAAATGGCAGGCGATGGACACCTGTAAATAAATAAAATGGTCCAGATCCTCCATGTTTCTGAAATCACAAAGAAAAATTATAAACAGAAATTTCTGTTCTGCTATCTTCAAGATGCATTGAATGTCAACATCCATCAGGTTCATATTTTGACCATGCCGGACAAATGGTAAGTAACCATGCAATGCTGTCTTTTACTCAATTAAGAGTATTGGTAAAATTACCCCAAAATTATTTGCTTTAATGGTTTCCCAGACAGGATTCCAGTTTGAGGCCATTATCCTGCCTTGTCTTTTAACTGGAAAAATTGGCAGAGTGAGTTTTGTGGATAAAATAATATGCACGCTTATTATTGGCTGCCACATTCCCATAACAGCTATTTATATCAGTACCTCCAATCTTAAACTCTGACTTAGAACCCATTTTTATGGGACCAGATTTGGCTATGAACCAATTGCATTTTTGCCCAGGGTGTCATAGTCCTGGTGAATCAGCCCTTCCATTGTGTAAATGGTAACAGTAGCTAAGGAGGCAGATGCTGAAGATGGAATAAAGAATGGTAGTGATTGGGCAAATGAAAGAAGCAACATCACATTGAAAGAGTCTTGACTGTCAGTCTGCTGCCATCTTCCATTAGTGGTTGTTTTTATCTATCCAATGGTTCAGATTGTATGAGTTAATGAAATACATGGGAAAAGGCCATTCTGTACCTTATGTTACCTCTCCAGTTGAAGCAAAAGGAACTCAAGATGGCACTAATTTTTACTGTTTCTGGATTGAAGACGAGCCAACTTCCTTTGTGCATTTATATTCAGCAACAGACATGTCCCACTAAGTTTACAAATCACGCATAAGATTGTAGCAGCAATGGGATTTCAACAGCAACCATCAATAATAGAATAGTGCAATATTGTTAATACAATAACGTTTTTTTGTTAATTGCATCTTAGATGCACAATTATCCATTTTAAAAATGTAAGACAAAACTTGGCATTTTTAAAAGGTGAGAAAAATCCAGTTATCTGTACTAGGCCTCAGATGGCAGCATTATGTCAGTAGACTAACGGTTCTACTAGAGACGGGATAGCTTTCATTACTGCAACTGTCCTCATGCCTCCCCCTCCAAAAGGATGCAAATTATGAGCATGCAGAGAAGGACTGAACACCCAACATCTTCCACCACTGCTGACAGTCAGTAGTTGGTCTGGGGTAAGCAGGAAATCTCAGATCATCTCTTGACTGTGGATGGTGTAGGGGAATTTCTTCCCCTTTTCTGACAACCGAGAGAAAAATAGTGAAATGAGAAATGGAAAACTAGAATGAAGTTATCTGTGAACTTGCTGCTAAAAAAAATAATAAAATCTGTATTGCTGCTCAAAATAAACCCCTGAAATTTGTGATCTCTCTCTTTTCAAATGAATCAGAACTCTGCTTCCTGATTTGTAATAATTTTTTTTGCTTCTGCTATTTATGGAGGGAAAGTAGCACACAGAATTTTCCACAGTGGAAAATCCTCCTCATTGACTTGTATTTCCCAGCACTGCACACATATGTGCATGTGTACGCACAGAAATACACATAAACTCCCTTCTGGTGTTAACTTGTAAACTTTAAATTTATTTGCATTCCTAGAGGTTAAAAATACAAAAAGGAAGAACTTCTAATGCTGAACTTACAGAAAGTGCAAATCGGGCACAAAACTTTGGGGATGACTCTCATATTCTTTCCAAATGTTGCTGCTAATTTTTAATCTCTCATAGTCCCAGTAAGAAAGCACTGGCAAGTCATTTCTAAAATCTTGCTACTGCGGGGACTTGTTCAGACAATTGCCAGAAGTCAACACTGACTCAAAGGAACCAAAAAGAGAAAGAAAAATTATTAAATACGTAAGAAGCAATCCTATTTAATCAAATGTTGGTTCTGTTTTAGGCCTACCTACTTTTAGGTGTGCATTCCTGGGATATTATTCAATGACCAAATGCATTCATCCACCATTGCTTTCACTTAATCATTCTAATTCTGCCAGTTCTGAAGAGCTGAATGCCAAGCAAGACTCAAATATGGTGGGAAAAACCCTTCACACATTCAGTGAATTTGGTGTTTGAAATATTTAGCAATATATACAGAACATCCTTTCAATTGACAAGGAAGAGCTAATCACATGGAGAAAATAAGATGAGCACCCTATTCTCTCAACCTTGTGTCAAAGAAAGAAGGAATTCTGGCTTTCAGGAACCACCTACTAAAGCAATAATTCACTTGGTGAATTTTGAAAGGTGTGCAACAAAGGATAATTTAAGGTTTTATTTGATATCTGGATTTGAAACTATGCTTTTGGAATTGAGGCAGAGGTTGGCTTCACATAATTTAACAACTGGTTTACCTAGTGTAGAATTGAAAATGTGTGAGAGAGCGTGCACCTTCCACAATTGTGCGCAGCTTCAAACACAGTGATTTCATGTGCGTGGCTTCCAGCACACCTGGGGCAGCCGCGGTGAGTAGAGTGGGCGAGGCACGGAAATCAGCTGGGTTGCGTGGACGAGGCGAGGGAGCCAGAGAGAGATATATAGGACGGGATAGTACCATGGCGGGTGGGTGGGCCCAGCTCGTGGTCGGAACTACTGGTACGGGCAAACCGGTCTGAACCGGCAAGAGCCCACCTCTGAATTGAGGCCACTGGAGAAAAGTAGAAAATGAGAGAAGAGGGTTAGATCCCTTAGATCCAGAAATTTTTAGTTTGGCCTCAATAGTTGAAGAGTGTTTTTAGAGGATTATTTTAATCAAAAAGAAATCCTAAAAAAACAGCATAAAGTGCCAACTATATATATAGAAATTTATTTTGCACGTACGGTTTTAAAAAGGAAGCGGCCAAGGCCATGCAAGGGGCAAAACAAAATAAGATTGCTGTTGAGACCAAGGAAGCTCAGCAAGTACAATCTTTCTTCCCTCTGTGGTCGATAAGCTGTAACTAAGAAAAAAATTAAAAGCAATATGCATCTTCTTTTTAAATAAAAATATGAAATATACAAACAAAACATTCATTATCCACATTCTGTTTGCATTTCTTTTTGTCTGACAATAACATTTTACTGCTTGTTTTGTTCGCTTTCAAGTTTCCTCATGGTGTTATGAATGAATTTACCTAACAAAAGGTAGCTCTTGAGCTTTTGAATGAAAAAACAAAAACACTTTTCATACTAAAAATCATGAATTGGAAACAAGAAACCCCTCTAATACTGAGAGATACTGCAGCTACCTAATGGTTACATGATCAAAGCTATTTACACAAATCCATATAAAAAGACACATTTCCACCTCTTAGAAAGACTTGAGGGCCAATTTGAAAACAATACAGGTAGTCCTCAACTTACAACAGTTCATTTAGTGATCGTTTGAAGATACAACAGCACTGAAAAAAGTGACTAAATGATCATTTTCACATGACCATTGCAGCACCCCCATGGTCATGTGATCAAAATTCAGACTTGGCAAGTGACTCATGATGATTGCAGTGGGTCTGGCTCATGTGATCACCTTTTGCGACCTGACGCTTTGCTTCACTTTATTTGTCAAGAACATATTAGGTAATTTATATAATTATAAGCATGAATTGAATACATAAAATAGATTCAAGTAGAGGAAACAATAGGACAGGGATGGTAGGCACACTAGTGCTCTTATGCACGCCCCTTAACCACTGTGTTACTAACTTTACTGCAGTGATTCACTTAACAACTGTGGCAAGAAAGGTCGTAAAATGACACAAAATTCACTTTACAATGTCTCACTTAGCAACAGAAATTTTCGGCTCAGTTGCAGTCGTAAGTCAAGGACTATCTGTATATGACTTGTTAGCATGTGGATCTAAATAGCAATGAAACAACTTTTCTTAACTGAAACGTGATTATATACAGATCAGAGTACTAGTCCCTGCAAATTACAATGCAATGGGATATCTCAAGACAGCACTTTTACTGTGGCATAAAGTTTTCAAGAGTAAAGTTAATAATGCAGCAGAGGCCATAAAAGCTTGAGTTTGCTAGATGTATATAACACAAACACACACATACACGTGTGCATATCTGTGTTTTCAAATCTGGTAAGGTATACTGGTTTCAGATATCGGTTAGTCCAGTGTTTCTCAATTTCTTGGTTGCTCTCAGAAGTTTGGACTTCAATTCCCAGAATTCCCTAGCCACACACCTGAAAGCCTCCAAAATTGGAAAAAAAAATTGCATTAGTCTAAAATCTTCCAAGGAGAAAGAAAAACAGCACAAAAGCGCGCCTTGTTAGTCTATTTAAAAACTATACGCAATAAGTAAGGGAAGTAACTTCGAATCCACTTTGGAAGCAGACCAGTGAGAAGTAGCAAAACACGCCGTTCTATACAGATTTCCCCTCTTCCTTGGGACTTTTCTTTCCCAACGTCACTTCCGTCAAGCTCGTGCAAGGAAACCCCCCCTCGGTTCCTGCCCTCGCGAAGAGCGTTGTAGAGTGTTTCCCCTTCCCCCCCCCTCTGTCGCTATGGAGACGGCCGACAGCCAGCTGCGCGTGTCAGAGACCCTGGCGGCGTTCAACGCCTTTCTGAGTGGAAAGGCCGGAGATGGAGCTCGTGCCTCCGTTTGGTTCAAAGAGAGCAGCGCCCGAAATTTACGGAGCCGGGACTTCCTGGCCCCCAGGGCCGCTCTGAGGGCCATCTTCGCGAATGGACAGGTGGGGGCGGGGCTAAAATAGGGGGCGGGGCATGGAGACGAAAAGGGCGGGAGGGCTGACCGTTAACAAATCTGTGGAGATTCTCAGTCATCCAGGTTATGGTTGTTCCCAGGAGGGAACTGGACTTTCTTGTTTTTTCCTTTTGAAGACGTTTCGCTTCTCATCCAAGAAGCTTCTTCAGCTCTGACAGGATGGTGGGGAATGGAAGGATTTATATTCCTTGCAAGACAGC